GGTGGACTAGATTTAAAAGTTTTGATGTCTCAGATAATTTTTGGTTTCAAATGTTCTTGTTTTTGAATAGCTTCATTGAGGTTTAAATAACATAAATTTCAGAAATTTTAAGTATACAATTCAGTAATGTTTAGTAAATTTACAAAGTTGTACAACATTGCTACAATCCAATTTTAGAATATTTCAATTATTCCATAAGGTCTCTCATGCCCATTTGCAGTTGATCCCATCTTCCCCATCCCCATTCCCAAGAAAACTATAATTTACTTTCTATATCGATAGATTTGCCTTTTCTGGACATTGTATATAATATAAATGGAATCATGACATTTGTGGGTTTTCATACCTGGTTCCTTTAACTTAGCATAATATTTTTAAAATTCTTCCATGTTGTTGTAGCATGTATCAGTAGTTCCTTTTTATTGCTAAAATAGTATTATAATGTAAAGACAGACCATTCACTTTTTGGCTATTATGAATAATGCTGCCATGAACATATGAGTCTTGTGCAGATGTACATTTTTATTTCTTGTTGGTAGATACTAAGGAGTGGAATTGCTTGGGAGCAAATGTTCTTAACCTTGTTTGTGGGAAGGACCTCTTTGGCAGTGTAATGAAGCCTACAGAATGCCTCTGAGGATAATGTTTAAAAAATTGTAATGCCGGGCCGGGCGCGGTGGCTCACGCCTGTAATCCTAGCTCTCTGGGAGGCCGAGGCGGGCGGATTGCTCGAGGTCAGGAGTTCGAAACCAGCCTGAGCAAGAGCGAGACCCCGTCTCTACTATAAATAGAAAGAAATTAATTGGCCAACTAATATATATATAAAAAATTAGCCGGGCATGGTGGCACATGCCTGTAGTCCCAGCTACTTGGGAGGCTGAGGCAGAAGGATTGCTTGAGCCCAGGAGTTTGAGGTTGCTGTGAGCTAGGCTGATGCCACGGCACTCACTGTAGCCTGGGCAACAAAGTGAGACTCTGTCTCAAAAAAAAAAAAAAAAAAAAAAAATTGTAATGCCTTCATACAAGATATATAGAATTACAAAGAAACAAGTTATATTGAATATGGTATTATAAGTAAGCTAAAAATTATAATATATGTGTTTATTTTATTTATTTAATTTCAAAATATGAAGAGGGTAAAAATGTTTTAGGTTACATGGATTGCTTTGGTATTGCTTGGGTCCCAGCTATAGGTGTGCCCATTACTCAAACAGTGTTCATTGTAAATATTAGGTAGGTTTTTAAATCAACATTTCTCTTTCCTTGAATTCCTTGGTTTTTTGATAGTCTGCTTCAACAACACTGATCACCCTGCTCAACCTCCTTACTTTGGGCAGTGAACTTTCTGACAATAAATAGGCCTTGCAATGCATTCTTTTTAACAAAATTGCAACTACACGGTAAAACAGGATATATTTCCAGATATTTCTGTCATAAGTTTTATATATCATTTTAACAGGTAATCTGTTTTGCTTGGAGATTATCAATTTGAAATCCTGTTACTGCTGTAGATACTTGTCTAATTAGAAAGAATTTTGCGATATAATTGTGTTTACATTGATACTGCCATTTTAACTTTATACCATAGACAAGGAAACAATGTGCTATTGTTGCTGAAAATGAATCTTAACATTTTGCTGGAGTTAAATATTCCAACTCACATCAGACAGTGTATACATTTCAAAAATCTTATCACAATAAATATTTTCTATTTTAAATTACTATGCACATTTTACTTGTCCACTCCATGAAAATAAAAAAATGAAAAACTCTTGGAACGAAAGGCATTGTTTTTATTAGGGTGTGTGTGTGTGTGCATATGTGTGTATGTGTGTGTGTGTGTGTGTGAGAGAATGTGGTTATTTTAATAAAATTGTTGTGTAATTTACTTAATGATCTTTAGCTTGAGTTTTCCAAAGGTATCATGACTATAAGCAAATTGATAGGAAAGTAGACAACAATGAATTAAGGGTTACTGGCAGCCTAAGACACTGTTTATCTCTTTTAAGGTAGACAGAATTCAAATTGCCCTCATTAGCTGAGCAATATGCTGTGGAAAATGAGCTGGGTACTTATCAAGAGTCTCTTTCATTTGCATTTTTGCTAAATAAATAAGCTGTTCTGTCTTCTAGCTGCTCAAGAGCTGTGAATAGGAGAAAAAGGAAATAATTCAGGTAAGTAAGCCAGGTGGGGGGGGGCGGGGGCGGGGAGCATTCCAGGACTAGACTAGAAAAGAAAAGAAAAAGTTCATCAATGAACATATCAGAATTGTGCCTTATGTATTTGTGATACAAAAGGACAGTCTCACACAGAGTTAGGCTAGGAGGTACAAATGTATTAATTCTCCCCACATCCACCAGTACCACAAGCAAAGCTAGAGGCTGTTCTTTTGATAAATGATCAATACTTCAGCCTGACACTACCCTCGCTGCCCTGCTGTTGCTAGTTAAAAGTCTGAATTTCAATTAAGCAGTAAATCTTTATGGTATTACATCTCCAACAGTCAATTAATGTCTCCCTAATCTCCTGCAATTCTGAAACACTATTATTTTGCACAGCCCTTTTCTTTAGGTTCATTCATCAGGCAAAACATTCCTATTTGATTTGTAAAGACTTATTTTCCTCCAAATAAAAACACAAATATTCAATAATTGTTTTGTTTAGATTTTTAGTTGTATGCCTTTGTGCAAAGAATGTTATACTTCCAAAGTAAAGGAGGCAATAAAATGCATTAATGAATATTCTCAGTCAAAAGCACATTGTCTTGATTGTACACCTTTAGTCCAAATGTTATATTTCAGAATGTTTTCCACATATGTATTCCTTGGAAAACTTCTGAAGTCATACAAAACACATACGCATTCATAGCACTGATCTCACTCAAATCAGCGTAAACATTCTCATTTCCCATGTCATAAAATCCCCCTATACATTTTTCCTCAAAACTTTGTACTTTCAAAAAGGGTTGGCTGATGCCACAAAAGCAGCTAATACTGTAGTCCCAGCTACTTTGGAAGCTGAAGTGGAAGGATCACTCGAGCCTAAGAGTTTGAGGCCAGCCCAGGCAAAACATAGCAAGATCCAAACTTTAAAAACAAAACCAAACAAAAATCAGCTAATAGAGCAATACAGCGTACACCTAAAGGATTATTGCAGCCTTCTTTATGAAAGATTTCAATATTTAAAGACAAAATATAAGGAATTCGATAGGTATCTCCTTCATATAGGATTATAATAACTTTAAATTTATGAAGTCTCAAAGTCCAATTAACACAACCGCAAAGCTATAGAGTTAAGGTTGCCTTAACAATTGAATCCATTATTATAATAAAATATAATTTTATATGTTCATAATATTAGAAGAAAGTCGTTCCCTTGGCAACAAATGCAGTTTTCCCTGCATCAGCAAAAATACTACTATTGTAAGTTCTACTCTTCTCAATCATTCAGAATGCAAGCATTTTTTCCATTATTTAAAATAATTTAAAAATTGATTGAAGAAGTCTAAACTACTTCATTAGAATGTCTGTGTGATTTTAATGAAATAGAATAAACATTTTATTTTATATGATATGCATAACAAACTGGTATGGCCGAACTATTCTGTTCTAGATATTTTATTATGAAATGCTCAGATATAAAGTAGTCTAGAACATGCCTGCATAAAAAGCACTTCTACTTACAATGCCCAAAGCTCTGCAATATAAGCTACACAGTAAAAACAAGTATAAACATTTTTGAGCTAATGCTCAGCCAGTATTTAAACATAAGTATGTTTGACTCCAAAGTTTTTGACTTTTTATTCCACTATACAAAAATCTCCACTAGTCTTCAAACCAGTTCTTAAAAGCACAATATACACAACCATTAATAACAATTCAAAGAATTATCCTAATGCTATATATTTTATTTGGAAAATGTTACCTTTTCTTGAAAATTAATATTAACTTTAAATTTAACTCAACCTAATTCATTATTTCCATAACATGATTGAACCCTGGGTGCCCTAAAAATGCAAGGCTATTACACTAATCCAGGTAACTAAACCTTCAAATGAACCCACAAAGTTTAATTTCATGACTAAGTCTGACTCCTCAAGGAAGAATTAAGAATTTTATTAGCTGATTAGTTTCCATTAAAGCAATGTACATTTATAGTAAAACAACATTCTATAGTGGTAAGGAAAAAAATACTTTAAGTATTGATTATAAGATTTGGAAATATCTGCATAGGAAACTAACAACTCTGTTATCCTGTAACTGTGAAATATTTTTTAAAACACAGAACTGAAATATGCATTGTGTAGGAAAAACCACATGCATCAAGTAACTTATTGAATTTTTGATTTTTATATTATTTTTGCATACATATCAGCACAATTATTAATATATGGGTTAGAAAAATGATACATGTATTGAAATACAGTTGCAAGAAATTAGCTTTTAATAAAAATAATGATATAATACAAAGATAATAAATCATGTAGTTTATATGAGATTGGGAGACCAATGAAATGAATGAGCGACAACAGAGAAGGGGCAAAAATTTACAAACTAGAAAGATGATAATAGACCAGAAAATAACACAGAAAAGATATGATAGATGCCACAGCACAAATGTTAATTGGGGTTAAATTTCAAGAGGAAACACGGGCATAAGGTGTAGAATAAAACAGAAGAATTTGCTTAATGTATTACTCATGACTTCAATACTAAGAAATCCTTTAAGAAATGACATTTTTGTAGAAAACAGAACTTAGAGTATTTATAGATACAGTGTAAGGTTTCAATCTTTAGTCAAAAGAACACATGTATATCTATATTATCTAGTGAGCGATACAAATTCTTGTCTTAAAATATTATAAGAAGCCTTACATATTGCTCTACAATTTTAAAAGTAAATTTAGAATCTATACCTTAAATTTGTAAATTATTAAATCATGTGGGCATTCTAAAAATAAAAATAAGTCTATTTACATTGCAAAACAGCCATGCACTTACCATCATGATTAGGATTTCCTAGTGTCCATGGCTCATCTGAGTCAAAATGGGTATCTCCTCCAATTCCTGGTCCAGGGAAATAGGCATGTGCCAAAAATCCTCCCTCTCCATCAAAGGGAGAACTGTCTCCATGAAAACCAGATGCAAAAATAATGGTTATATCCACATCACGTTTGCCATTTTCTAATTCACTGTAGGGAACTTCTTCAAATGTCAGAGGAGTTACATTCTGCCACACATCAAAGGCACGGCGAATAGCTTTACGGGTCTCAGGGTCTCCTACTTTCGGAGTTACGTTCTTTATACTGAAAGTTAAAAAAAATATAATAATCAGTATGACTTTGTTATGTTTAATCTGACTTATTAAAGATTTTGATCTGTTCAGTTTAGTAAAATATTATGGAAATGAGTGATATTAAATAGGAATTAATTTATTCATTCCTCTCGTCTCTATTGCTTGATTTCACTACATTGTGATCATTTAATTTTCAGCAGTATAGTATTCATGTACCGAAGCTACAAAGGAGAATATTTCTACTGAATGGTGAACAGTAGGGTAACTAGATCAATCAGTCACTTTGCCTCCTTAATAACAATAGGAAGGTAGATTTGCCAAATGATCAAACAGGTTGCAGAAGTTTTCAGCTGAAATAAAAATTTCGATTTCTTTATGGTTATAATCGCTTTTAGAAGCACACCATTGTTTGTATCTGCACATATCAAACACTTTCTGATGTTTTATTTTTATTGATTCATTCCAGTTAAAAATTACAGCTAGCTAGGAGGAATAAGTTCTACTGTTCGGTGCCACTATAGGATGACTATAGTTAACAATAATATGTAGTTTCAAATAGCTAGAATAAGGATATTGAACATTCTCAACCTAAAGAAATGATAAATATTTGAGATGATGGATATATTGATTTGATCACTATACACTATATGTATCGAAAGGTCACTATAAACCCCATGAATATGTACAATTGTCAATTAAAAATAAAATTCAAAAGTGTATTGCGAGTAATTAGTTGTTTAATACAAATGTTTAACAATTACATGAATTTAAAGAAGTAAATTGAACATTATTTAGTTTGTCCTGATGCTAATAACAAATAGATGAGATAATTATAAATATTCTTCTTCATTCATTTAACACTAATCAGATGTTTGTCTTTCCCTGGTTATTTTTCTATTTTTTTCTAAATGGAACATCAATGAAACTAATGTGTATATTTTTTATATTGTCACACTATAAATTCATACTATACATGTGAAAAACAATGGAAAACTCCACAGGAGTCAAAAATAAGAAAAAAATTTTTAAAAAGAGCTGAGGACAACACCACATTTTTTTTTTTTTTATCTGAGCCAAAGGATGCATAGAACAAAAGAATTCATGCCTACTCAGGGAGAAAGCTCTGCAGTGTTCTGTTGTTGCTGCTGCTGTATTTATTTGTTAGTTTATTTTCATTTTATGTCTTATTCAGCATGGTATTCTGAAGTATACTTTGAAAAAGAGTAAACAACTACATTGAGATACCACAGACCTTTGTCTAGCTTGTTAGTCTCTAAATTTCCTGTCTGATGGCTAAAGAGGCATGCAGAGTAGTGTTGTAACCCTGAATTTGGCTAAATTAACTTTCTTAGTTGTTTTTTATTTTCTTCCCATCCTACGGGATTTCAGAAGTCCTTCATTAGTGGGCAGATATTCCTACAACACATTATTTGAAAGAACTTACTATATAATGGGGACTGTTCTCGGTGCTAAAGATACAGCTAAACAAGATTCTGCTCTCATAGTGCTTATATGTATATTCTAGTGACAAGAGAGGAACAGTCACCAAAACAAAAAAGAGAGATAATTTCAGAGAGTGATAAGGGGGGAGGCGGTTAAGACAAAGAGATGATAAATGGGATTTCAACCACAGAAGGGGCCAAAGATGCCTGGCACTGAGTTTCCAGCCAGAAAGAACAGTGAGTAGGCCACATCAGTTTGGCCTGTTCAGAGACTAGGAGTGCTCAATAAATTGGAACCAAATGAACACACAGGACCATGATATGAGATCAGATGAGAGGATTACCTGGGAAGGGATTATATTCTGCGAAGGGAAGCCACTGGAGAATATTAATCAGAGAAAGACTGTGATATTATTTCAGTTTACAAATATCACTGTGCCTGATAGAAAATGGATAAGGGGATGAGGATTAAGTTCACGCAAGAGAAGACAAGAGACATAGACTAGATGACAGTCATGGAGATAGAAAGTGTCAGTTTCAGTGCCTGCTCTGAGAGAATTGTTAATGGGAATTGGTAATAGAGTCAATATGTAATGGAGAAATTCATTTGATTTCAAATAAAGGATAATCTTATAATAGAGAAACTACATGAAATATTACTATGATTTATATATGAGCATATGAATGCATATAATGGTTTTGAGAAAAATGAAGCAAAATAATATACTAAAAAATAATAAATGTGAAGTACTATTTGGATTTGAAAACATATCATTGTGTTTTTCAAAGCTATGTAGTGTTTATGTTCTAAAATATGCTTAAAGACATATCATTAATAAATACAAGAAACATAGGTGTGCTTCAAAGGGCTGGAGTTCTGAACTAGGTGCAAACAACAAGCAAGAATTCAGAAATTTTCATGGAATTGAGAGATGTATTTTATATTTACTCATAACTGAAATAACAAAGAGCACAGAGAGATCATGAGGTAATAAGAGTAAAATGAAGCTTATTAACAATTCTAATAAAGAGAACACAAAGGATTAAATATATTTGCAAAATAAAAAGGCAATGCTATGAAATGAGTAAAATAAAAGTTAAGTTGGAAAACTTAACAAAGCTAATTTAATTTTAAATGTTTTAATTGCAAATACAGTGAACATATTTCTCATTTTAATAAGATAATGAATTTCATTACTTGAAGTCTTTATCTGGCTGTTTCATTACACTATTTGATTCTTTCAAACTTTCAGTTTGGTCAATTTTGGAATTTAACCCCCTTCCAAATTGATACATGTTACCTTTAATAACTATGGCTTACATAATCCTACATAACCATGCCTTACATAATCCTATGAAGTGAAAATTTCCAGACCTCTTCATTCATCAGAGTAATTGGTACTGCCAGAAAGGTATGTGAGTTGACTAATAAGGTAACTATGTAAACTCAGGGTTCTCTACTCTTAACATCATTGGATCCATACCACTTCTTTTAATAATAATTCTACATATTATTAATGGTTATTTCTCCTTAAAGTTTCTGATACAGTGATAAATCTTTTTCAAAATACTGTTTTATCTCTAATATTGGAAGAAAAAAAGAAATAAGTACCTTGGCATCTAGTTAAGGTACAAAACTCTTATTCTTATTTCCAAATTATTTTTCATAAACCGTGCTAAATCCCCTTTAGTCAATTAGATTGACAAAAATTAGTTATGGATAAAATTAGTTATGGATAGTTATGGATAAAATTAGTTATGGATAATGATATTGATATCATTATCAATTAAATGCAATTTGCCATAATAGGGAAAGTAGACAATTGCTAACAATATAATAGAATAAAAATAATAAACGGCATAAATTATTAGCATTTTCCAAATGTATTATGATGTTCTATCAAGAGAAAACCAAATAGACTAATTTACTTTTATTCATATTATGTTTGTATAGTTGATTTGTCTTTACAACTTTTTTTTTTTTAAGTATGAAAAATGGTCACAGAATAGAAACTGAATATGGAGTGCCTCCCGGAAAGCTTACATTAAATATTTGGCTATTTCCCAAGATACTGGCTTGCCAGACAAAGTAGATTTAAGTACACATTACTTTGGATTTTATTTAAATAGGGTCCATTTCTCAGTCTGTTAGTCTGTTATGTATCCTCTGGACACACAAGTTGAGTTCTCTTTGAAGTCAATAGGATCACCGAGTTCAGCGAGCTCTTTGGGTTCAGAGAGAATAATGAAAAATGTTTCTGGGGAGGAATTTTTTATTCCTTAGCAACATCTTTGCTCTGTATACACTATTAAAGTAAAATAACTTCTAGTGTGTGCTCTCAGTTGTCACAGAGGCATTCATTTAAAACCAAGGGTACGCACACCCAACTTTATGGCTTATAAAAAGAGAAAGAAAGAAAACCAAGGCTAGCTAAAAGATGATACTGGGAAAATGAAAACTAAGCAGTATAATATAACATAGCATTATTATATTAACACATTATAAATACTCATATTCATCTGAGTACCAATTCAGGTACCTGCCCCATTGACCATTCATCACATAAACTAGTATTTTGGAATTTAGATTTCTAAGACAAAAGAAGTTGCTCTAAGTCTATTTTATATAACATTCAGCAAACTTGGGAAATACATTTCTATTTGATAAAAACTATGTTGATAAGTTTCTAACACTGTCATGAAAAATATTTAATTAAAGCCTGCTTAGAATTCATTAATTTATTCCACAACTGACTTTCCAACCATTACACAAATGGCCTCTAATTTATCTGTTATATAAATATAATACATATTTTTTTGGTTTAAGTGCCTCCAATGATGAAGACTACTCAGGATATATAATTTAATTTTTTAGTATCTCAAAACAGATTATTCTGAAAGCCTTTAAACATTTGAGAGTAACTGGGAATTTCTCCCTTAAATGTCCTTTCTATCATGTTGAGAATCCTTAGCTCTAATCTTGAGTTGTTTCACATGTAGACTGCTTACAAGCTCCTTTAGCATGTTGATTGCTTTTTTGGAGATGTACATTAATGTGTCAGGAAGCAGCTGAATGTGTGGTGGCTAGAAGAGAAAAGTGCACATCAGGTACTCTGGGCCAACAAACCAAAAATAAAAATTCACATCATCACTGCTTTGGATATTTTTTTCTCAATGTAATCTGGTCATTTTAGTTTTTTTCTGAGCCACATTATACTATTGGCTTATAATGCGTTTGCTTTCAAATAAAACCTAGATTCTACCACTTTCACCTCAAATCTTTTCTGCATGTTATAATGGCACACTTCAGCTGTTCTTTTCATGGATAATTATTTTTGAACTTAAATGTCAGATTTTGTTTATTGATTAACCTATTTTCTCTAAATATAGTTAGCAAAAATAGTAGCAAATGCTTATATAGTACTTACTATACACTAGGCAATTTCTTAAGTGCTTGCATACATTAACTTTAAAATCTAATATATTTAGTGCTTTCATTCCCAACTCTCTATAATTCTTTTAGAACACTTCCAAAAACTTCTGTGATTTGTCTGGTAAATTAAAAGTA